AATATGAATGATTTATTGCTCTTTCTTTGTTAAAGATTGATGGTACAAATCAAACAAGGAGATTAATATTCCTTAAGAAGGTTCTGCTAGGTTGTTCTATAGTGATAAAAAAAGGGATATATATCAGTCGTAACTAATTTTGGTGACTGTGGGAGGTTGTTTTTCCATCCCCAGCATTTACAAAACCATTGTAGGCTGGATTTGGACTTATCGTGAAAAACCTGAACCGTTCAGAGTGACTACAAATTCTGTATAAAGGTTATATATCTTCGAACTTGCGGGAAAAGTCAAATTCTATACCTGTACTATACAGCAGTTATATATTTAAAATAAAGTATTGACATTAAGTTTGTGCATGAAATGTGTCAGCCATTTGTTGTTCTAAACATACAGTTATATCCTCGTCATCTACATCTTCAATATGTTCTATGTCTTGTATCAACCTATTTGCGTCAGTAAAATATCAGCCTTTCACAAATCCTTTCTGGTCGGGATAAATAAAATTAGGAAGAACTACTTTTAATCTTTTCGCAAGATTGTTTGCTATAATTATGCTATCAGAAATCAACAATGTAAGCGGGCACCAGTTTCATTTAGTTTCACGTCCCTGACTCTTAAATAGTAATGCTGTAACTTCCTTATAAATTAGCCAGACAATGTTTTTATCAATATTTCAGGCAATAACGCACACAATTATTATTATAAGATATTCCCGAATATTATATAAAACTCAGATATGATCCCGTCATTCCCTTTGTGTTTATTCCAACGATGTTATATTAGGGTCTTGTAATTTTCTGTCAAATGCCATCCCTCAAAGCTAATTTTTTTTCTAAACTAACTTGTTCATTCAGCATTTCGTCTCTATTGTATTTGTAACGGCTATGTTCCATTTGTACTCGACTCCATAATTTCTTTTGTCCGCTTTGCTTTTCGAGATCGAAAAAGTAGCTTGACGAATTTTTCACTCTACCCGTCCATTTGACATTCGCTTTTATTTTGGACGCCTCTGATTTGATATCATAAGCGTATTTTAATTGTTGATTCTATTCCGGAAAATTTATTTTCAACGTCCCATCATGCAATCTCGAGTTTTTTTAAAACTAATGTTTATATTTTATATATTTTTATATTATATAAGTTCACCACCAAATTTTGACAGCATTCCTCCATTCTTCACTTTGTATTGTTTTTATACATGTATTCATTAACCACATATTTTGGGAACTAAGCTTATTCCATGCATGCATGGACAAAGGCAACTAATGTTAACTTAGTCCATGCTTGCATGGACTAAGTCTGTTTGAATCATTGAATAATTTCAAATGTCTATGTAAAGTTAGGTTAGCTCATGCATACATGGACTAAGTTTGTTGTGTTAGTCCATGCAAGCATGGACTAAGTTAACGTTAGTTGCTTTCGTCCATGCATGTATGGAATAAGCTTAGTTCCCAAGTTTTCATGTTTACATAACATGTAAAGGTTTAGCCATTCTATCAAGTGTTTGCAATTTATTTCTTAAGGTAAGTTATAATGCACAATATGTCTCTAAATCATAATAAATAGGTTAAATATGGAAAAATCAACTAAAAAGAAAAAAAAAATGATAGTTACATCAAATTAAAAAAATAATCTAACTAACATCATGAATTTAAGCAGTTAGAAGTAATGCAGGTTTTCTAAAGTTGATGTTGATTTCCAGTTTTATTTAATACCTTGTTTTGTGTAGAAAAGAAGGCGGAAGATACCAGAGGGACAGTCAAACTCATAGATCGAAAATTAATTGGCAACGCCATGAAAAAAGAAAAAAACAAACACAAATATTAGTCGAAAGACACAACATAGAAACTAAATAGAAAATGGTGGATTAAACCTGGTTTTATGGCTAGCTGAACCTCTAACTTATATGACAGTCTTATAAAATTCCACTACATTAACAATGACGTGTGAACCTAGACAAACAGACACAATAGGCAAAGCACATTACCAAAAACAAAAGACAGGAATACAGTAATTAACATAGAAAAATAACACATTGACGGTATGTATATATACAGAGCTTCGGCATATGTAACCAAGAAACACAAAAATGCACACAGACAAAACTAATTAGCAAAAATGAAAAACATGATCACAAACATTATCATAGAACAATAACAGAATGATGGGATGTACAAGTACAGAGCCACGTCTATTGGATACACCCAAAAGAACAGACTAAAGAGTAAAAGTAATAATCTTAAATACAAATAAAAGAATACTATAACACGTTATTAAGATGAAAAACAACGTCAGTACCCAGAATCTAAACTTCATAATAGATAATCATTAGTCATCAATATATGCTTGCAATTTGTTTTGATCCGACGTCATCGACAACGTCTCGACAACGCCTGTTTTTTATGACGTCAGAGGAGTGAAATAACCACGTTTATTTCACGTGAAATTATCGTTTTTTTTTCACTGGGATATCAATGTAATTCATTGCAACCAATGTACTAATGTCCTATCAAGCTGATTGAACTTATATATTTTCTACTTGGCCGTTTCAGAATCTAAAGAATCATAGGTAATTTCATTGTTCGTACCCCAGAATGAAAATAACGTCACGTCATTGGTTGAATTTCCATTGTTTATGACATTATTAACCAATCACGACGTTTTTGTGTACACTTTTGAAAATATTATCCAGGATGCATTAGATTCTAAAACGGTTAATTGTAGATATCTACATTATTGCAGGTGTTTCAAAAGAGATTCGACGGGACCTATGATTTCTATAGAGGTTGGAATGACTATTAATCAGGCTTCGGAGATCTGACCGAGGAATTCTGGCTTGGTATATTTTGATTGAATGATAAAAGTGAAAAGAAAAACAAGTTTCAACCCTTATACCGATTAATTAATGTATCTTTTAATATGAAAGAAAAATGTGTTTAAGTAATGCCAGCGAGTCACAAGAATACAAGATCCATATTTACACCCCAGCTCTATTGTTTTAGTTCATAGTTTCTATTTCTGAAACACGTGTAAATTGAATAGATCTATTGTTTCAAATAACAATGGATTTTGGCCACAGGGTGTGACGAGCGGGGTTTCTGGAAACCCCTGCTTCTACATCCCATAAACACAGTCCATTGTTATTCATAACAATAGAAATTGATTATTTTAAAATAGCAAGAGCATAAGAAATTACTAATAGTGTTCACTACAAGATGTTTCTAGATTAAACAAATCAACACATTTTAGGAAATTCCAATAGCGAAAAAATATTAAGTATCTACTTTTGAATAAAAAAAAATCTTTCAAATTCTGCTTTGCTTGAAGATAAAAATTTTGATCCAAGTCAAATGTTTCTATTCTTAAGCATTGATCTTTAAAAAAGAGGGGAATTCAAACTCCCGGACCCCTCGCCCCTCCCCCCCCCCCCCCCCCCCCCATCCCGGGATCGACCCAAACAAAGGGAGCTCCTAAATATTCAATCTGTTTTTTGTATGTTAAGCTTGTCCGGTCGTCGGGTATTGTAATCCAAACACACACCCTCAGTATTTCCAAGTACGAATGTCGGTTTAATCTTGAGAAGAGATGGGGGATGCTTTTTTCTTAATATATAAAACCGCAACATATACAAAATACATTTATGATTACCTTAATTAAACAGGTATAAGTACTTCTGATTGTAATATAACCTTTATCTTTAGTCTCTTCTACCAATTCCAACGATTGACGCAAAATATCGTCCGTCTTATACCCGACCATATTGACAACTGCATACAAGGAGCATGGTGATTTTTTTTATAATAAAAATGTAAGAAACGGTCAACCTTGACCTGCTGATCCATATTTAAATTAATCACATGGATTTAACAGGAATATTCAAAACAGCAACTTTGATATTTGTAAAATCTACTCACTTGTCAAAGTTTGAACGAAGATAGACAAAGTAAGGTTACAAGTGCGGTTTCATGTAAAAAAAATGTTTTTATATAAATCATGGTTTGATATTGTCAACAAATATGCTATCCGGTCTTTTTTTTATTCAATATTCAATGTTAACAAATATAGGGTTTAGCAAAGGGTGTAAGTTAGTTATACACCTCGGGATACGGCGTGTCTGGATAAGAAACCCCTCCGGCCTCCGACCGACGGGGTTTCTAATCCAGACACACATATCCCTCTGTGTATAACTATTACAGATAATATAAAAACAATGGTTGATCGATTAGTTGATTTGTTAATCATTGCTGCATTTCATGTTTAAAGGCACTTTTCTATACACTGAAATACATTGGATAAGAATTGGATATAGACTTGCCAGTGAATAATTCGTTTCAATTTAATTCATATGCCAGACATAGGTAACGCATGCATAAGGCCAGCTCAGTTATTAAAATAAAAATAAAAATCAACATTGAAACTGCTACAAGGGTACACTATTTGATTGATTGATTCGATCAACAAAAAATCATTCTTAAACAGATAAAAACGATGATAAACATATATTTCACCCTTAAATATGAAATCAAACATAAGTAGACACAAATCCCATTACAGGAGTTCACAATTTATTTATATCTATATTAATCAATTATGAGACCTACTTGAGACATATCGGTGAACATGAATTTTACAGATAATTCCCTTTAATGCTTTTTTTTCAATTCGTAGCTTATGTCTCTTTAAAGTAATCTCGACTCAATTTTTAATTATAAACTTAGTAAAGTTTCAAAGTCAATAAACCATTAATGTTGGGTGTAAGATCCATAATTTTCTATAGTTAAATACAACACTTACAGGACAAACACATCTGTCTAAGTGTATGGTAAAGTAAATTATTTTTTGTAATGAGAAACTTGTATTTACATGATTAACTTGAGGTATCTTTACAATAAAGATATTTGATACTACATTGTACAACATATTTGAAGTATGAATAGAATTGCGTGCTCATGAAATATGTGGTAAATCAATATATATATAGATTTATTGTCTTTCACTAGGGAATGACTTTTTACATTACATAACGTCATCTGGTCAATACAGACTATATGTGGAACTCGAGGCATATGATGGTTCAACTGCATATGCTAAATATGCCACATTTAGCATCAGCGACTTGCAGTCGGACTATATTCTGAATTTCAGTGGATATTCAGGAAATGCCGGTAAGTAAATGAACAATTAGAACGTAAAAAAATGATTGCAACGTCAACCCAGTTTTTCCTGACTATAACATTTGTAATGAAGAATTTGTTTGTTTTAAATTAACCATGAATGTTTGAGAAGAACGATTTGACACTATTAATAGTTTGCGCTCACCAATATAACTTTTTTGATACGATTTGACAGCGCTCAACACACTAGCAACATTGTATTGCCGTATCTCATTTTTAGAAACAAGATACAGTTGAATATATAAATAATTTAGAAACTAAGATTCTAATTCCCTCAAGTTAATTTGATTATTTTATGTATGTCGTTTGTATTAGTCCTTATAAACGTTGTTACTTATTCATACACCAGCTATTGAAGTGTGCACCTTCATAAAGGCATATTAAGAAAAACGTTATGTTAGCACACAAAAACTCATTGCGTGTTTATTATATTACTATTGATTGCGACACCAACAACACATATCTGTCTCAAATATTTTACAAACAAACATGTCAACAGCTAACAGGTTAGAAATTTGAATTTTCCTGTGAAATTGTTTTTCATCACGTACACAATCGTTTTATATTGCATGCTTACAAAATAGATAACATTTGAAATAAGAAGATGTCGTACATGTCGTATGAGTGCAACTATCCATTCATTCAGAATGTGTAAAAAGGAAACCATTATAGGCCACAAAACGGCTTTCAACACGGAGACTATGCTCTCACCGACATTGTTTATAATTCTAAATCCTAAAATTTTAATCAAATATTGACATGCTCCAAAAAAATTAATAAAATTTTCTCTTTTCTTATTTTTTTTTACTTGGAACTTGTTGAGATTGAAGTGTTATTCATCGATTTCTTAATATCTAAAAGGGAACTCTGCATCCAGTGTGCATTTAGAATCTCACATTAACATTATAAATACATATGTAGTAAAACTGCCGACACTTTAATAAAAAAGTTATTATTATTCAATTTAGACGACAGTTTACATAATAAAAATGGGATGAAGTTTTCTACTTTAGACAGAGAAAACGATAAAGCGTCCTGTGATTGCGCTCTTGCTTCCCAAGGTGCTTGGTGGTACTCTGCCTGTTACAGTTCAAATCTAAACGGACGCTATGGAATTGGTAATGACACCAAAGGTATTGTGTGGCGAGGATTTAAAGAATTCAATTCTCTGAAAGCTTCTAAGATGATGGTAAAAATATACTACTGACATCACATGACAGTTCTACTGATTACATTATTGTGAATCTCACATGAATTTTAAAAAAAGAGTATTTCAAACAACATCTTAATTTTCAAATTTAATTAAAATCATGAAAAATATCATTTTTTTTTATTTTTTAAGATGTCAAACAATTTAAACATCTACCGAGCGAATCCTGAAATGAACAAAGATTTAAAAATCGTTCAAGTAATTTATGAATTATAAGAATGTTTTCAAGATTCGAAAAACTTATTGGTCCATTATTTCTTATTATTTTATACAAACGAACTTCTAAACTATACAAACTTTTTTTTTACAGTAAAAAGATCTTAAAAAATATGTAGTACAACAGATTTTTAAAATTGTATAGACGATTCTTTTTTATGTACAAATTATGACAACAGTAGTATACCGGTGTTCAAAAGTCATAAATCAAGCAAATCAAAATGGTTCAACGAATTTTAATTAATTATGAGATTTAATAAATATTGCATAAACGATTTAATAAAAAGTTTTAACGTTGAAATATTCCGTATTAAAAAAGGCACAAATAGTCTTTCATAAAGATGTAGTCTTTTGAACAAATTGAATTTGCACAAAAAGGTTTTCTTGTCCTTTATAACAGGAAAATAGTGTATTATACTCTTTATTATGTGTTAAAACAAAACGAATACTATTTTTCTTATCATGCTAATCGTACCACTCACAAAAAATGACGTTTTACGGCTAAGAAAATAATCTAAGAATATTGCTAACGACTTTTCCAAATTAAATTTGTATTGTATATATTGTACTTATTGACAAATAAATTGAATTGGCATAAAACAGGTTTCCTTGTTTTCTACAATAGTAAAATTTTGTATTTTTTTCCTTGTTCTGTTTTGAAACAAAGAGAATGCTATTTTTCATCATGTTCATTGTACTTCTCAATTATAGATGACGTTTTAAGGAAAAGAATAGTATTCCTAAAATGTTGCACACGGGGTTTCCGGATAAATAATGTATTGTAGTATCTGACAAACAAATTGAATCGAATAAAATGGTTTCCTTGTTTTTCCTACAACAGGAAAATATTGTATTATTTTTTTTATTCTTTTTTAAAACAAAACCAATACGTTTTTGCACCAAATTCATTATAACACTCAAATATAATTGACCATTTACGGAAAAGATTCTAAAAATATTGCACAGTTTTTCCAATTCAGTTGCTGTTATTCAATGTTTTGTCCCAATCTTGAAATGACGTTATATTTGCATCGCTCTAACATGAATCTGATGATTGTTAAGGATAACAGATAATTATTTGACTAGCTAGTGTTCGTTACAGTATGGAGGACATTTCACTAAGACTTTATGATTATTTGTGCGAAAGTGTAGTGGGATCAGAAAAAAAAGTAGTTTACAGAAGAAAGTTTTTTGATGTTCATGATGACTTTCTCAATTGCACCGGCGGCCATTTAGTGGAATATATCAGCAGTGGTAGTAAGGCTGAAGGTTTAGACTTTCCGGGAAGCGATCTAGATATCATGCTTGTTCACAAGATAACAATTGAAAACAACGATTTTAAGGGAACTAACGCAAAATATAAGCACATGGACAGAACCTTTCTATATATAGACGTACGTGTTACTCAGCCTGGCTTCGGGATGATACATGTAGATCATACTCATACTTTTTTTAATAATGATATGATAAAGAGGAGCTCTTTTGCATATTTAATGTCGGAATGTGTTGTAGTAACTGACTTTGGAACATTCCTCTCCGGAAAATTATGGAAAACGATGAATGCAAACTTGAATTTTAGAATAATGTCAATAAAGATAAATGGACCATGTTTAACGAATTTAAAAGATTCAATGGACTTAGCTTTGGCTTTGCCATGTGACAACTGGGGGAATATTGCAGAGTCATTTTTTACAAGACCAAGATCATCTTATTGGCCAGCTGAACAATTAATTGAAAAAATTCGTCGAAAAGGTTTTTTGCTTGTTCCTATTGGTAGCAAATCGGATTCAGTTGAGGACAATCCTCTCGAATGGAGAATTTCATTCTCTCAAGCAGAAAAGTTATTGATACGTTCTTGGAATCATACACAATTTGTTTGCTATGCTTTACTTAAGCTTTTCGTAAAAGAAGTGGTTAAGAAAGCAGAGCGGGTTGACAAGTTAATCTGCTCTTACTTTTTAAAAACAACTATACTCTGGATATCCGAAGAACTCCCTCTTTCTATATGGAGTCCTCAAAATCTTATTGAATGTTTCATGTCATGTCTTCAACGATTGATTTATTGGAATATTCACGAGTACATTCCTAATTATTTCATACCTGAACACAACATGATTGACAGGAAGTTTGAAGGGCAACCACGGGAAGCATTAGTTGCAATTTTAAAGAAATTTTATGACATCGGATGGTTCAGTGTGTTAGAATGTCAGTCACTAAAAGACTTTCATTGCTTTTATACAGCTGCTAAAGTCGCTAAAGGTGGATATGAGTTTAATATAGCTATAATGCCACTACTAGAAATTTTTGGGTTTTTTCCAAATGTTACTCAAATTACTGGAAATAAAAATTTTAAATTTTGTTTCGATAAAGCTAGTAATTCGAATGTCCCTATCATGACACGAAACATGTACTTGCTTCGTATTATCTGCCTTACCGAAGATATTGTAGACCACACATTTTACGAAAGCCATCAGAAGACAAACAAGAATGCATATACCTTGAGACGGAAGTGGTTATGTCCTGCAATTATCGCAACGTACAAAGACTCTTTATCAGGATGGCTAAGGATTGCATTGTCCTTTTTTTTCTTTGAACAATACAATGAAGCATTGATTATTCTTGATTATAGTAGACTAACATGTACTGTAGAAAAACTGTTTACCTTTAATGGAAAGGAGTGTAGAGAGTTTTATTCAGCGAAGCAACAACAAACATCAATGCAGAAAAATACTGTTCTAGGGGACATACGATTGCGGACTATGCGCAAGTTCATTGTAAGGTCAGAACCATACTCTGCAAATGAAACACATCCGTTTATTCATTTGGCCAAAACTGTAAGAAAAATACATTGCCCGTCCGTTGTATTCATGCATTATCTTCGGTTTTTGTGTTTCTTTAACTTAAAAGACATCACGCAACTTCGAGATAGCTTACGAAGTTTACATTGGACTGTTAAAAACAATTTCTGTATCGAACGTGTTAGTTCTATGAAAAACAGAGCATGTTTATATCTGAGTCGAACATACCGTATTATTGGAAAAGAGGAAGAAGCCTCGTTTTGGTTATCAGTTGCAGAACGAGTTAAGGACAAATCGTCGAGAAATAAGTAGTTTGTTTCGGTTGAATTTTACAATGTTTTTTTGATATGACTTATCCATGCCACACTGTTAATAAAGTCAAGTATATATGCAATCTACGGCATAAATGGTCATATCAAACGAACACAATTGGCTGTCTGGAATTTATATCAAGGCAATCATGGATAGTTTTACGGTATATGTAGTACTTATTAATAGAAAGAGGATCATAAAACTGAATACAAGACAATTCATAATAATTCCGAGGAAAGCATTAATCCGGTGGACAGCACATATGCACCAAACAAGACATGTATAGAGAACATGTAACAACAACGTTTTAACAAGCATTTGACATTGACAACCAAATTTTCACAAAATTATATTTCCTCTTGGTACGTTTTCGTGTCGGGGATCAAATGTGATCATACACACGAGCGGTGTAATCTAGTAGAAATAACGGCCAGTAGTAATTTAGCTGAATAGCCGTAATTACTCTTTTGGTAGCCCATACCACAAGCTGAAGGGCATCATTATTTACAAACTAAATAGTGTGAAGTCAGGATACGACTCAGATCAAAAACATTTGCATACCAAATTTAACGTTTGTGACCAACAACCTAAATGGTAATTATCATCACTTCTTAAACAATCAAAAATCAACTTTTATCTGAGAATGATACTATTATTGTTTGTAATGTCTTCTTTTTATACCTCATCTGTCTCATTTTGTTGACTAATTTCATGATAGATAGATTTCTTTTTAACTTATGACCGGTTAAAAATGGCACACAAAAGAAAATCAGAAATAGCACGTATAATATTGGTATATTTTCTAATTGAGTATTGATCGTTTACGTATTAAAATAGTAAAACTGATTGAATTGTGTTCGTATAACTTGTATTGGGCAATCAAATTAAGGACGATATCTATTTCAAAAGTAATGCAATATGAAGGAACGTATTACAGAGGGGGTTGGTCGAGATTTTTTACAAGGTGTCTTTAAAAGACATATATCAAAATAAAAAAGACATAAAGTATACACCATGCAACAATCAAACGATAAAAAAAAAACTAAACACATAACAAATATTTCCTACCATTTTTTTTTATCTTAATCAAATACACATGTTACACAGGGAAGCTGTAAGTATCCATTTTCAAAAAGCTTTTAATGGACTACGCTGAGGATCGTATATACTTAATTGAAATTCAACACATGATTTGTGGTAGTTTACTCCTTAATGTAATGTCGTCGGCCCTACAGTCCTCCGCTATATTTTTGTAGAGTTTTTTAAATGTTAAAACTTGATCGTCGATGTGTCAAGATAGCGTCTAGTTTGATCAAAAACTTATAACAAAACAGATAAAATATAAAAGTGACACACATTCAAAACGCTTATCTAGCAATATCTAAAATATCATGCCTACAATTAAAGTAAAGTTATATGCCGTAAAGTACACATCCAAACTTATCAATACGATACTTATCTCCCCACTTTGCATAAAAAAGTCAAATTGACACCATTCAAATAATAAAGAATTATTGAAGTTCGTTGGTTGAATTACCACGAAAATGATCTAACACAAAGTCTGCATGTTTATGCAGTTAAGTTCTAGCAACTTTTACAATTCCATAAATTTTACGGACGCCATCACGAGTTGGTTGACCGTTCACAGATGATATCGGATATGTTTCTTAT